ATTGTTCAGTTGCCGTTGTATATCCCCATTTTTTACCACTCTCAGAAGCTATGTCTCCGCGTCTAACGTGCACTGCAATATATGTGTTTTTTGACAAATCTGAAAAAGGCCTTGATAGCTCAAAAACGACAATTTCTTTTAAGATTAATAAAACAGTATGAATAAAAAAATGAGATTCAAAACAAAGTAAAACGAAAATATTTTGAAGAAAAGTGCACAAAGTATCCTTATTACTAAAATCCTTCTCTGCCAACTTTCATCATCAGTTTTTATACGGCATGCTTTCATCAACTTCTTCAAGAACATCATTTTATGCAAAATTTATACTATTCCTAGTTTTAAATAAAAAACAGAGCTTAGATGAGGATGTCGCGAGTATCGTAAAGAGATTTTTTTCAGCTGCTTTTGAGCTATATTCGTGATGTGCGGCAAAAACGAGAATTCCCGTTTGATTATCGGCTCCTAAACAAAAGCGTTTGAATTGGCACCGCATAAAGAAATAAGAACTGAGTTTGCTTATCTGAAATTGTAATTTATATTAAAAACAGTAGTTGCTAAAAAGTTTAATAAAAGAACGTAACTCACGTATCCCGCAAAATATTTGAATGATTCAAAGTAGCCCCTCATCGTTTCCAAAGAACTGTTTGAATCCGAAAATAATTTTTTGACAATCTTTTCCTCATATCCAACAGAAAGCTAAAAAGGTGACAGCAGATGAGTTTTTGCAGGATAAAGAAGGAAATTTGAAAAGCCGTCGTTTTAAAATCATTTTCTTTTTTATAAGTATAAAAAGTTACAGTTCTATGTGAAACAAAGCTTACGAATCCAGTACGAAGACGCTTTTCGTTTAGTTTTAGTAGGCTTGTATATTGTTCACTGTCAATAACAAAGGCGCTTAGCCTAAAACTTTTTAGCAATGGAAGATCGGCTGGAACTGCTACTAGAGCACCAAACTTTTCGGCCAGACCTCTTACTGCGGCATACATAAACATCTTGTTGCCCATACGAGCTCAAAACGATAATGACTCAAAGCGCCCAAGTATTAATAACCTTTTTTAATTATTAACCCATTTCCAAGAATTACAAGAGTAATTACCACTGTTATTATAATCCATCAAAAGAAATCGATTGTTTTCTTGGAGCAATTTGAAAGTTGAACTTGCCGTAAGCCGGAAGTTCTTACTCGGTACTGTTCCTGAA